CTAATTTGGCGCGCAATGCGCGTGAACCATTTTTGGACAGAATTGTCACCGGTGATGAAAAATGGATTCCGTATGCGAAAACCATTTCCGACCCCCAAACCTGAACTCTATGCGTAGAAAGTGATGCTTTGCATTTGGTGGGACATCAAAGGAGTAATTCATTTCGAACTCTACAATCCACAGAGAACTGTGATACGTTAAGGATTTTACTTCATCACAAGAGGATTTATTTAAGCAATTAAATCGCATTTTTTTTAGCTTTCGGACGTTTATCGTTTTAAACAACAAAACTATCGAACGTTCTTGAACTTTTCGCTTGATATATTTTCATTATATCTATAATATTTTGTATAATATATAAACACTTTCTGGAATCTGTTCAATGTAGTTTCATTATATTTATCATTTACGGTTTAGGTAAACCGAACAACCCTCACCTGTTGTAGTTTTTCCAGGAAGTTCAACCACTCCCATTCGAGCATTCCTCTGTACTCTGTTGTCACGTGCACATCCAGGGTCTTTTCTTGCAACAGCTGTAAATTAAAATGTGATGTATCATTCAAAACCATTATTTTGAAAAATGTGTTGCAAATTGGTTTGGTTGGTTAAAATATGGTTTCTCATTTGCACACATATCAGTGAACACAATCACAGCTATAACGTAAGGATAGTTGTGGTTAACAACATCGTTAGTTAAAGTTATATTAAAAAAAGGCGGAAATTAACCAAAAAAGTACTATTTTTTATATAAAAATCACAAACAAATTAGCTTTAAAATAAGAAATTTGGAATTTGTCTGCATGATTGTGGAACATTTAAATGTCATATTTAAAGTTTTTTGTTGTATTTTTGCTCCAAAATTGTGAACACTCAATGTTTTATTGATTAATTTGTATCAATAACTTGCCGATAAGAAGGTTTGTTAAAGATTCTTTAAGAAGATTTTTCTAGTAAGTATTAGGCTTTATGGAAGAGCCATAAAAGAATATATACTTTAGTCGAAATGAAATAATGGAAACTTTTTAGTCGTGAGAAGTCGTTTTTTTTCTATATTTAAATTATTTGGATAATTAAGGTATAAAAGTAGCTCGGGTAGCAAGATTTCCGTTATTCGTTTTAAGGAAGTCTTTCGAAACATCATAATTTCTACCTGAGCTACTTTTGTAGGTTTGTCCTTCAAGACTTTCTCTACAACTGTCACTCTGAACTAAGCAGTTGCTGTCCATTTCATTTTTGTTCAACATGGTTACTTTGCCTAAATCGTCTATAAAATAATACATAAATATATATTTATTTAATGAACTTATAAGTGTGTACATGTAGTAATAAATAAAACGTCTTGCCGGCCTATGCCTAAAAAATGCAGATATCTATTTTTGATCATATTTTTGTGACATAGCGCCGCCTATTTAGTAATGCGTTTTTGTGAATTGCACATAATCGATTTTCTATTTTTTTATATTAATAGAATGTCTAGGTAAATATAACTACATCAGAAGTATTAAAATATGACCAAACCAAGGTTTTTTTAGTAAAACGATGCGTCCAAAGTTTCTTCAAAAGGGACACAAAAAGTATTTTATTTATGTGGTAAATGTCAAAGATTAAGTAAGGAAATTCAATAGCATTAAGTGGCACAACTAGACATCATGGGGATCGTGGAGCAAAATTACATGGTGGCCCTTAACCACTGTTATTAACTGTCCTGTTTCCCAAAGAGACTAAGGGGGATGGGGCCTCAGGAGCCAGTGGATGTAGCTCAGATAGGTGGTTGCATTTATAATAGTTTTCTTTATATTTAACATAAAAATAATTTGCACCATATCTCACAAGGCATTATTGAGTTTAGACCGAAGTGTTCAACAAAACTGTGACGTAATATTTATCTGAACAATTTGCGATAACCAAAGATTTCAGATAATAGCTACATAAAAGTCTGCAAATGATGTTCCAATTTTAGTTCAGCAGCCTCTTTGGAAATTCTAGTAGACTTTCAAATTACCTTTAACGTTCATACACTCCAGGAATGTGCAATAGAGTTTTATACAGTTTAAAGAGACTGTAAGCACCTACATCATTTTTTTTTTACACGGGTAAGTTCTTATATCGTATTTATTCATTTATATTTAGTAGACAGCTTTGGTGGCGAGATTAATATTAAGATAATGCGTCTGCTTGCTTGTCGAGCAATAGTGTTAATAGATATAATTTTGGCACCAATTCTGCTTAATATAGATATGATGTTGCATCGGTAAGACATTTTTTAACCAATTTCGCGTAATCCAATCTATAGATTATTGGGCATGAAAAACTGCTCGTCATTTGTACCAGAAAACAAAATAAATAAAAACAATTAATTTTGATCGGTGAATCGGTTTGAACTTCGTGCAAAGTTACACAAGGGCTATCTGCGCTAGCCATCCCTAATTTAGCAGTGAAAGACTAGATGGAAGGCATCTAGTTATCACCACCCACCACCAACTCTTGGACTACTCTTTTACCAACGAATAGTGGGATTGACCCTCACTTATAATGTTTCTACGGTTGAATGGGCGAGTATCTTTGGTGTGATGGGGGTTCGAACCTGCGCCCCTTAAATTGCGAGTCAGTCAAACGCCCTAAACACTTGGCTATGCCAGCCCATAATCGCTGATGGTAGAAGAGTTACTTTCTGAAAGTGATCGGGTTTCGTTTTTATTATTTATTCTGATGACTAAAATGAAAATGGTTGGTGGATGTTTAGCTATGAACTTTTTCAACACTAGTTTACTTCACAGGCTTCATTACTTTCCAACAGATTCAAAGCTGACGGGAAAGTGAATAAAATTTGTAAGTTACGAACGAAAACATTTTTTACTAAAATAATTCACTATTGTTTTACACCTAATTTAGAGAAAGTGATTACAACAGTCATGATCTAATGACGTATAGAACGGGAGCTATTACTACGCACTGTAGTGCTTAGTATGTAGGGATGGGCCGGGAAAAAATGGCTGACACATATTATGTATTGCTCATCATAGTTTCAAATTTCTCTTATAACAATCTAAGAGACTTTTATAAACTCCTAACATAGGTTTTCGAAGTTTCCAAGAGCTATTAAGACTTTCAGTTTAGCCATAAAACATCGCTAAAGTAGAGAACTGGCGAGAAACGTAACAGCCAAATGTTCTGCTGATTATTAGCTAGCTCACAAATGCTTGAAGTTGTTACGATGAATTACACACCAAAATGTTGCATTTTTAACTTGGGGAGTGCAGAAGTAGTATAGTGTTTCACTAACTTCAACACGTGATGTCCATCAAGACAATTCATCACGCCAGGCTCAAACTGCTGCCTTCATAGCGACTGCCATTAATTATAAAATATTCATTGGTATTATTTAAAAAAAAAAGAAAGAAAAAAAAAGAGGATAACAAGTAATAAAAGAAATATTGAAATAAATAAGGATGATGTGGGATGGCAATGCCGAAAAGTACAGGAACAAGGTAGGGATGGATACACAAAATATTACAAAAATCTCTACATAAGTAGCCACTGAGTCAATGTTACAAGCTTATGAGAATTAACCATTGTATGACTTTATAACATTATAAAGTTTAAAAGCTTTTATTCAAACCTGAATTCATACAAATGAAAGGAAGTCAGCATTGAGTTGTAGATAAAAGTTTTTCTTGGAAATATTTGGCTACCGATGTAAGGGTTTGTTACGTCTCTGTTCGTTAATTGATTTTCCGTAAATTCGTTCCGACGAAACTTTAGCGACACAAGTCCTTTCTTAAATAAAACTGGTTTATTCTTTCCGAATACAACTTTACGATACACTCAACTTCAACAGTCGCGCTATAACAACGAACGTGCTCAACTTCAACAACACGTCTCTCTCTGACTGCAGTTCAATTACTCATTACCTACACTGTTCCGTCACGTTGTGACCATCTTATATATACCAAACTACCCCCAACCTAGTAAAT